CCTTCTCTCAGGAAGGCCGGGCTGCCGGCACGGTGCGTGAAAGGCTGGGAGCTGCGCCTGCCCGGCCTGCTGTCCGCGGTCACACCACCCGCTGCACCTCACAGCCACCGCCGGCCCGCAGCGCTTACCTGGCGGCAGCGGTCGCACAGCCGAGCTCCTGCGGTGCGGCCCCACACACAGCGCGGCCCTCTGGGGTGAGGCCCCGGGACTGGGAAAGCACCTCGGGGTTCCGTCCATCCCACTCATTTACGGACACTCGCGTGTCGGCAATCCCGTGAAGCCCGTGGAGCACGTCGGTGCCTCAAGGCAACCGCGGGGCGTCTCGGGCCCGGCCCGGCACCGCCGTCGCCTCACGCTGCCCAGCAGGGGGCGCGGCGAGGCTCCAGAGGGCGGCCATGTTGCGCGCGCGAGGCTCAGAGGCGGGAAGCAGACGGCGGGAAGCGAAGCGGCGGGCACGCGCTGCCGGAGTCGTGCACGCGCTGCACGTGTCAGCCGCAAGGCGGGCGGCTGCTCTCGACGCGAGGTGCCGCTGCGCGCTGCCTGAGCTGCAGAGGCGGCCCGAACGCAGAGCGCTGTGCGGCGCTGAGCAGCCGGGCAGGGCGAGGTGCGCTCGGACCTCCTCCACGCCCAGAGCACCGCAGTGCCATCTTTGCCTTATTGCTGCCCGTGGGCGCAAAGCAGCGAGCGTGCAGTGCTCGTCAAGCTGATGCCGGCGCTGTGCGTTCAGGCTGGGACCAAACCCGTACAGGAGCGCTCGTCGCACGCTTCCAACCAAATAAAATGACATGTCACAGCTGAGAACTGTGCGGGGGAACGTCCAGCTCAGTGAGACGCAGCCAGCGGACGGTGCCGCAGCAGAACCCCGCAGTGATCGTACGTCTGGAGACGAGCAGCGTGCGGCTCGTGGGCTGGAGCGGAGCCAGGGTTGAGCCCCAGTAGTCAAAGCTGGATCCTTGGTAGCACTCGTGATGGGAGGTCAGCGCAATGAAAGGGCCCTAGCAGTTTGAGAAGGAACACAGCAGCACCTCTCCTGATGGGAGGTCAGGCGCAGTGAGCAGGAGGGCCCCCCTCGTGCCGGCAGCTCCGTTCCAGTGCTTGGCTGGGCTCCAGAAGATTAAAATAGAGCCTTAGACTGTCCCCTCGGCAGCACTGCCAGCCAGAGCCCTGACAATCCTGGGGTTGTACTCAAACGTGAGTCCCGCGGGAGCGCGGGCTTTACCCGAACAGCTGAGGCACTGACTGGTCGGAGCAGGCAGGGCTGCTGCTCCTGTGACTCAGAGCGGAGGAAGAGAGGGATCAGGATGGAGCCGCGAGAGAGAGGGGGATGAGAGCGAGCCCACAGGGCACACGGCGGGAAGGAGCGAGTGTGCCCCGAAGGAGGACGGGAACGGCCTTGTTCTGGGGCTGGGTCCACAGCCTGCGTCGCCTCGAGAATACACATGCAGCTGTTGGAGCCCGGGTCCTGGTTTAGCTCCGTTCTGTCACCACTTCAGGGGGAAAAAATTGACAAGCAAAAAGGCGACATTTTCATTTCTCAAGCATTTTTAAAGCAGTATGGGAAAAGGTAAAGGCCACGCAGGTTCTCATGAAGAAACTCCATCTAAGTGGCAAAATCACCAGAAATGTCACAGCTGAGGGGAGGCAGAGCCACGTTGCTGTGCGCGTGTGACTGGCCGGTGTAAGCACTGACGGCCGGCAGCGAGCGGTGCTCCAGGCACCCGCGAAGCAGCAGCAGCGGCAGAAGTCAGCATGGCTGACGGGTGGGATTCGGGCCAGCCGCCTCTTGTGGTCTGTTAATGAAGGCACCCACACTGGAGAGGTTTTGCTCTTGTATTTTCACAGTGATTACAAACAGTGCTGACAACCATGCTTGCATTGCCTTTTTTTTTTTTTTCAAGAAGTCAAATTTGGTTGGCTGAAATAAATCTTGTTGGAAATATCACACTGTTTCAGTCACAAGAACGCCCGCCTCACCAAATTCAAAGGTTTTCTTTGGATGTTTCCAAGAGAAAGCATTAACATGTACCAGTAGAAAAAGGCTGTCTTGTCTCTAAATGTACTTTAATATCAGCTTATAAAGCTCAGAAGTTGCTGTTCAGTTCAGTGCTTTTTTCCCTGTAAGCAGTAGCAGGTGAGTAGCAGAGGGGAGAATTCAACTTGATTTTTGTCCTGCACGTTTGCTATAATAAAAACATACTTGAAAATCACAATAATTACATGCATTTGCACAGATAAGAAGCAGAAGTCCTACTGGTTAATTAGAGCTAATTAATTAATATTTATAAATAAAAGAGAAACTAAGAAAAAATAAGTATTTCAAGCAACTCCTTTTGAAATGAGCATGTGATGGTTTGAAAGGAGAGTTTGAAAACTCTTTGGGAGAGAGATTGGAGGAGGTTATTTATAACGGTTTTTTGTGTATTTGCCAAACAAACAAACAAACACAAATCAAACCCCAAATATTTATTTAAAGGCAGAATTAAAAAATACATTAATAGTTTGTTCAGAGAGATGACAGTTCATATAAGTTAATACACTGGAATGGAACAAGATGGTGATCTTTTGCTGTCAGAAGAACAAGTGAAAAACATGCCTGTAAGAGTTTGCTGCCTTCTTTCCAGTTGGCTTATAAGCATTTCAGTAAAGCAGCGTATAAAGCAGAGGCAGTTATAAAACAGCACTGTCCTTTAGGAACCCATGGCAAACTTGTTATAAAGCTCTGTAGGAATTAGCTGTTCACCTACTTATCTTATGCAAAGAACATCTCTTAGCTCTGGGCAAGCAAAACATTTCAACAACCAGGCCGGAAAAATGCATGGTACATGCAAAGTGCATCAAAGTGAGTACATGCACACAAGAAACCCTTCTTTACCTTGTGCTGTTTCTCCTATTCAATTTCTCAGTGTTACTGCACACTAAACACCTGCATGTTGGTTGTTTTTCACTAACTTAGCAAATGTGGTAACGATGTTTTGAAATGAAAAATCAAGGAAGCAGAAGTGACCATCGTAAGAGTTACTTTGCTCCGTTATTGAACTCCACTTGGGCTGCATTTTGGTTAAAATATTTTCCATGTGTGAAAGTACCCACAGATATTCCAGTTGGAGGCACTGACTTGGCATGTCATGGCTGAAATGCAAACATCCATCATCACTTACATTCCCATATATACCTGTGCACGGATGATGTGGTAAGGATGCTAGCCAGAACATGGTGTCCCTGCTCTGTCACAAGCTCTCTGTGACCTTGGCCATGTCACTTATTCCAATTCTGCCATAATCTGTACAGAAGGGAGAGAGTGCAGGAGGTGTCAGGAAGCTCAGAATGGCAGCTAAATAAATTCAGCAACCTGTGCATGTCTGAAACAAGGCAAACCCAAAGCAGAATCCCTCCAATTTCCCTTCAGCATTCGAAACAGGCTTGTTCTTATTTCTCCTGCTTAAATACACTAACCCAGATTTATACTAAATGAGAAATTTTGTGGTGCTTTTCTTTTCCTCACATAAGGATATGTGAAAAACAGAATAATAACAGAAGAGTGTGTTTCTCTTTATAAGGTAATTCCTGCAGTAGGTAATATCTGGGGTGTTTCTCGACTACAACCAGATTATATGTACTCTCAATGCAGTGTGTTTACAACCTGGCTTGAAAGCACAGATTCACACCAGGAATGCACAGCGGATTCTGCCTGGCTGTCCCTGTAAACGTGCCCAGTGTGCAGCCCTGGGATGGCTGTGCTGTCACTGCTCTGACGCACAGAGGTGTGCCTGGATGACGGCAACTTCTGCAGGTGTCATGGGAAAGACGCCCTACAAATCCGACTGCCCACATATCACGCCTGCATTAAGGCATGCACATTTATGCAACGTGATTTTCAATTGCTGCTGTTTTTGCTGGGAGATGACTCTCACACACAGACTCTGGAAGCCATGCCCCTGTCTGGCAGATTTCTGACTATATAGACCACAATAAAAATCTGGAGACCGTATTTGAAAGATTGGCCTTAGAAAAATTCCCTTTCCAATAAAAATAAAAGAATTCAGAGAAGAACACAAACTGCAGGGGATCTGCGCTGACTGTAACGCTGGCATACGTGGATACCTGCTGATGATCACACAGAGCCTATTTCAAAAGGGACTCAAGCACACACGGCGCGTAGGGTGGTGTGAATGCACAGGAAGCATCTTTTTTGGCTATTGAGGGAGCAGACTTGAAGGACATGATTGCAGAAGATCGTAGGAGCGGTAAGAACACAAGAGCACTCCAGGTCTTGTGAAGTTTAAAAGAGCCAGGTTTCTATGATGGCAGATCAAACAAAAAATTCTGTTAAGAACATTTTTATGACTATGATTCACTTGAATAAACCTAAGACTTCTTTTACCGACCGATCTTCTTTTCTAAAATAGTATTTAATATCTGAAGTTATAAAAAATATTTGTAGTCTTGAAAATTATTTTTATTGTCTATTTTATGTACTATACATGCCTCTTTCAGGAATTATTAAAGAAGCATGAGTCATACGGCACTCATTTACTCTTGGCTCATTGCCATCCTCAATATATATTTTGCTATTTTCAAACCATTTGTAGGTGCATATGCATGAAAATATTGTTGCGTCAAGTCCCAAGATCACAGTTAGCGCAGCACACATTGTTCCTCCACATATTTACAAAGTTTTAAAGCACATAAAATTGTGCATTATTATACACCGAAGTTTAAACTTTAACATACGCTTGGTCGCATATAGAGCAACAAGTTACAATAAAAATCTGAACAAAGACAACCAATAAACAGCCAAATTGCTATGTACAAACGAGGCAGGAAGCAATTAAACACCGCCTTGCACATTTCACTTAAATTACTTTTTCTCTGAGGGGAAAAAAGCAAACAGCCCTCCCTGCCTCCCTCAGCTCCCCGTAACCCTGAACAGCCTTCATTTCTTAGTGAAACAACTGCAACTGGCACTCGGCGAACATGACTTCATTTGCATAATGCGCGAGAGAAACGAGGTCCCTCTCTGAGCGCAGCAACGCGTTCTGCCGCACGCTGCCCTCCCAGCAGCACACAGCAGCAGGGTGGGCTCCACCTCTGACCCCTGCTTGGACAGCAGCCCCGTTGGCATCCAGGGCAACGTTCCATGAGAGGAAAACCTTTGTCTTCCTTACACGCATTGGTTTTACGCCAGCCAGCTGTGCTGCTGTCGGTGTCCGCACGCATCCAGGCCCTCGGCCGGCACTGAGCCGCCTGCAGGCGCGTGGCGCTGCCCACCTCACGGCTGGCTGAGCGGAGTGGAACTGCTGTGATCTGCACTGGTGCAAAAGGCCCAGGAATGAGGGCCGAGGAAAGCAGGATTGGGCCCAGACTGACCTTTATATAAAGTAAAACGCAAAAAGGCTGTGCGTTTAGCTTAAAATATAAATTACCATAGTTCACAGTTGGAAGGTAATTAGTGCTACACCAGTAACTTCCTTTTTTTAATATCAATTTCATACAACCTTAAAAAAAAAAACAAAACAAAAAAAAAAACACAAAAGAAACAAACAAAAAACCCTAAGAAATCTCTTCCTATTATTTGACTAGCAAAATAGAAGGCTTTCTGTAGCCTAGTGACAGACAAGCTTAATGACACTTTACCCTACTATGGGATGACTGTTTTAAAGGCTAAATCTTGCCCAAGATTTGTTACAAAAAGGCTGAGGAAGATATTCTAGCATAGCTCTTATTTCATCCCAAAAACACAGTGTGAGAGACAGCCAGCTGGGTAAGAGCTCATCAACATCAATATGGAGAGATGATCTCTGTGCTAGTAGGATCTATACAGCTTTCAGCAGCATGTGGGGCCTGCTCCAAAGCCTCGTCAAATCAACAGAAAAGCTCCTATTGCCTTTGCGAACACTTAGCAGCAGAGACAACTGTAGTTTGTGCCTGCACAAAGGGGGCCAGACTACTGCCCAAAGCACGTTTCCAGAGTACAGCCCTCAGCTCACCTTGGGGAGTGGTGCCCTTTTTTGCACAGAATTCTCTGGCCAACAGCTCCGCTTCATACTTCTCTGACATGATTTAGCCTTATGAATTCTCCTTGACGGAATCAAAAGATAAATTATACTTACAAATAAAGTATTCTAGCTATTTTATGTTCAGCTGCGGTGGAAAAATTAGACACCCACCTTGATGAAGTCTCTGTTGCCTGAAAATTCAGTCTCCTTTCTAAAAATACTTCTTGCTGATGGCAAAGTTCAACACCTCAGAGAAATTCAGAGTAAGTTTCCAAGCTGTGTACCGTATTTTCAGATACACTATACCTTTGTTGTTAGTAAGGCTCCATTGAAGTTTTACGTAACAGTCATGAGCCATGAGTTTAAACACCTTAAAAGAGTTGACCAGCAACTTAATGCACTTCTTTGTTCTGTAAGAAATGTAAAGATACATCATGTCTCTCCAATACACTATAAAATGTTCAGGACGTAATATTACGTCCTCCTCCTCTCCCTTTAATGTTTGTATTTAAAAGTATTTATGCTTCACCAGTGAATTATTAATTATATATTTCTCTGTATGTGCCCTTACTGTGTAGAAAATCTACTTATTTATTAATATCTAGGCAAAGCAAAACATGTACAAGCATAGGAGATAAATGCTTTTGAGCCACAGGTTTCTTCAAGCAAAATGTCCATCTTGCAGATGCAAAGAATTATTAGTGTAGAGCTCGCAGTTCACCTATATCTAGCATTCTATTAGCAGAAACAGGAATGTTTTAGACCACAGGGTCCACTGGTTTCTTGTGGGGTCATAATGTTAGAGAGGTATGGTTTTTTTCTGGCCAGTCCAAGTAATGCCTGGAAATTAGAAGGAGCTGGGTTCAGCCTAGGAGAAAATAAACTCCCTGAAAAACACAGGACAGAAGTTCTGTGCCAAGCTGTTAGCTAAGAAAGACGCTATCCAGAAGTTTGCAGAGCCTAAGTACCCACTTCAGATCTGAGCTTCAGCTGATGTACGTGGGTACAGACTCAAGAGATTCTAGAATGTGCTGGGCTATGAAACTCAATACTTCCTGTGTCTGTGCGTGAATCCTCTGAAAGGACCCTCGCTCCAGCCGGAGAAAGGGTTCCCAGTGATTAAAGCAACAGTCTGTGTTCTTAATTTTCATTTGATTTCTTACTGAGCCTTTTCTCTAAGGCCTACTCGGAACAGTCACTCAATGCTTCTGTGCTTTTTTGAGGTGAGGTAACAGTGCTGTGTTTCTCAGGATTCTTCGAATCGCAGTTGTTGCTTGGGAAACGTGAGTGATCTTCCTACGGGAACCACAGAGGTGTTATGATTAGTGTTACCACTATGCTTGAAAGGCATCTCTTTCTACTATTTATCTATCTCTGGGATATCAATTGAGAACAAAGAACAGATATTTCTTTCAAAAGATAACTAAGTGCTTTCTAAGCAGAAGTATTTAAAGTCAGAACTATTTTGACTTTTACAGTTGGGAAAGAACCTCAGTCTAGAGGCAATGGGATCAAGGAGGGATGCCCTGCAGGATGTCAGATAAGCACCACTTCCATATAGCAAACTTAACAGCAAGGTGCAGTAGATTCTGGCTGGCATTTGTACTCCCAGAGTCAAATTCTGCCTTAGCACACACAGGAAGGCAAAATTAGGGAACAGTCAACCTTCTTCTCAGTTCTTTATTAGACACATGACTACTTCTGGAAAAGCCCAGCAGAAGGAGTGGATAAAAGAGATTTTACATCCTTATCTGTCCAGCAGTGTGTACCTGTTCTTCTGCTGAAGGTTTTGCTACTTCGTGCCCTCACTGCTCTGTTTGTCCTGAAAAGCCAAAGCAAAGCAAGGTGGGTTTCATTTTAGGAATATCATCGTGTTTTGTATCATCACATTTTACAAAAACAGCCTCAGCATACTGTTGTTTTTGTACTTCAGTAAGCAGTTACACAGCAGCTTTGCTCAGAGGCTGAAAAGGTCAGGGGAGCCTGGGCTAGATGCTTTATTCTAGAAAATTGTCTCTCCCTGACAAACTGCCTTCTGCTAACAAACATAATCTAATGTAACAAGCTGTTGCTGCCTTCAGCAATGGTAAAACATCACTGTTTGGTTCTATGGTGTGTGAGTCAGGTTTTCCCCATGCAATTTCATGTGGCATACAACATACAATGCATGTCCTTCTAGCTGCAAATTGGCACTGAGACTTTTGCTCCCCCATCTTCTCACCCACAGGAATTTTCAGTATGGGTCTTGTTTGGAGCCTTTGGAAGTGAATGGAAATGTTTCCATCCTCACTGAGGATTGGATCACATTATGAATATCATTGGTGCAAAAAGGTAACTTTCCTCTCCCCCCAAGAAAGAGAAATTACAAATGTAAATGCCTTATAGAAAGTTTCTGCGTTTATATCACTGCTTAAGCTCTTTTTGGCTTCTGCATACTGACCAAGCATGAAATAGTGAATAACATTTATTTTTGAATTTATGGATTGAGTTCACAGGGATTTTAATAGCACTGGGGTTATGGAAGTGCTATTTTAATAAGGACCACAGATCATGGGCCCAAATCCTTACCTTCACCTCAAGGACTTGTAAACTCAACTATTTAACTCAAATCTCTTTATTGGAGGCCTTAGAATGTATCCACCTGGAGGCTGAAAAATTGAAGGGTAGAAGGCTGCGCAAACATGGAGTGAGGGAATTTAACCAGCAGGAATGTGGCCCATAAAATTAAACTTCAAGAACTGTATAAGAAAAATTAAAGCTTGTGCAACAGCTGGGGTTTCTCTTCACATTAGTTCATTTCTCAGTGACTCAGATGTTATGGTTCTCATTAATACAGATTTCTTTGTTGAGATCATCTTCTGGAGTACTCTAAGTCTTATTCTGGTTGCAAATGACAAAATTGTGATCTGCCTTTAGACAAAGACAGCATGCTAACACTCTTTTGTTAGCTAACACTGCTTTGCACTCTTCTAAGGATGCCACTGTTTATTGGTGACACAAACAAAACACTGCAACTTTAAAATGCACCCCCAAATTTCCCTAATGGCAATTGCCAGAATATCCCAATTTCAGACATAGCGATCAGATACCCCTGAATATACACTGAAAAGTCAGGAACAAAAGTAGGTGCATTTTTTTCCAGTGGATGTTTGAGAGTCTCTGCATAAAGAAATGCACACTTGTGTGTGGGTAGAGGACCAAGCTTCTCTTCACTCCTATTCAGACCCTGTATATATTCATTCTGGAGAGACTAGACTCATTCTGTCTGCTTGTGACCTCAAAGGTTGACTCCTGTTTAAGCCTTTACAATAACCTGCTACTCATGTCATTTGAAATCTGAGCTTCTGAAAAAACCCTCAAACGCTGTGATAATTTTGTCAGGCTCTGGCAACATTCACAGATTGTGCATGCAGTGTTAATGATGACTGGATTTTTTAGATACTGAAAGAATGCTCAGTTCTCTATAGTGGCTAGACACTGTGGATAACTGTTACTAAATCAGTTAGCACTTCAGTGACATGCAACCTTAATCCATTCAAAAGGGCTGAGAAGAAGAAAAATGCATTGGAGATGCTGGAGAACAGGTTCATAGAGGCTTAGGACACAGTCCTAACGTGAGGACACCAAGGATGTTACAATTTCTGCTACATTGCAGTCAGAACCACTCATGCTTAAAATTTTGCATGCTTAGAGATATCTGGAAATTAAGACAACTGCAAAGACTGATCACTGGATTTGCAGCCACAAAGCATCCGTTATGTGCGACCCTCCTGGCGAAACTGCTGGTACAAGTAATACTGCTTGCATCATGGCAGGTACTGCTGTAAGACTGGGAATGTGGCGATGGAGTCAAACGATGAGGATTCTTCTGAGTGACACAAGTTGTCATTTCAGGAGCTGGACTTCCAAAAGTAGTTTTGAAAGTATGGCCCCATATGCATAATGCTCACTACCTCCTTGTGGAGCAATGGGAAGCAAAGCAGAAGTCTGGAGTTACAGTGTGCTGCTGAATACTTCTGAGACAGCAGAACCCACAGCATCATCTGAACCCATTTTCTGTTGCATAGCACTGTGCACATCCTCATTTTCTACAGACTGCATGCTCACTGCCCAGGATTTGCCCTCTTCACTCAGAAATGTTGTTTTATAAGGTTCCACGTGTATCCTATGGACATTTTGCCTCGATTCCTCATACTTGCCTTTTCCATCTTCTGGAAGGCTGGATGCATGAGGTAAGAAAGTGCTCCGTGACTCTTCGATGGGAAGCTGTAACTGCTCACTGGAGGTAGGTTCTTGGGATAAATCTGAAGATCTCATGAGATGCTGAGTATACACACCTTCAGACAGACAGGCAGACTGTGTCTCGCTGTGCACACGCAGCCAACGATGATGCTTGCTGAAGTAGTTGTAATGCTGATGTTTCCCTAGTCTCTTTTTCCCTAAAAAGCTCAATGGCTGCCTGGAGCTAGAGGACTTGTCTATGCTTTTTGATGTGATCCCTGACATCGTCAGATTGCTCATATCCTCTGTGCAATATTCAGCATTAGAATCAAAGGCACTACACTCTGTCAGGCCTTCTTTCAGTGTTAGGCAAGGCTTCACGTCGTGGACTTGGAGAACATCAGGGGCACTACCGCCCAGGCCACTGCCTGCCTGCTGGGATATGTCGTGTGGGGAGGAGTAAATCAAGTCTAATTCTCGGGGGCTTAATGCATCACTGGAATCATAGTCACTGTCAGTCGGAAGGAATACTTCTGAACAGCCTTCTTCATCTGAGCAGGGCTGGGAATCTGCAAAGAGAACTGATTAATAGCAAGAAGACAAGCACAACACAGAAACTGCTTAACAGTTACTGCCTTTTTTCTTTTTTCTTTTTGTCTTAATTAGAATAATATCTGCAATTCTAAAAATATACATTTGTTTCCTCTGTGGAATTTTCCATGGGCCTAGGTGACAGCAAAGACAGTAGTCAGAGAAGATTTACAGATGTGTTAAAGAGGTGATGGCAGAATTAGGAAAAGCAAAGAGGATTCATTATTCAGTTAAATACAGGGAAGAATTTGAATTGGAATTGGGATTAAGTTCTGAAAGTACCTGTTTTCTTTTACTTTGCTTTCACCAGATTTCATAGAGATGATTTGGGAGAAAGAGAAAATCTAATCCACGTTCTGTTTTTATTAAAGATGTTAGCTGAGTTACTACAGACAAATACCCCTGTAACTGTGAGCAGGGTGCAACTGTGTGTGAGGTGAGGCATGGAAGTAGATGAGCAAAACAACCCTTTTCCTTATTGGCTGCATTACTGTGTTCAAATCCAAAACAGATATACTTAATATACTTAATTCAGATTCAAATTTGTTGACCAAAATGCACAGTGGCACTGAAATCACTGCTGTCTTTTGGCATTTGAAGGATCTATAACAATAGAATGGATCGATGCTCCATGACTGTGCACTGTTTATATTAGAAACAAGGAAAAAAAGTGGAGATTTTATACCGTGCTGGCTATTCACTTCAGCCTAGTGTAAATTACAGTATAGTGCAATAACAATGAAGTGAGCCCATGCAGGGCAAGGTAATGCTTGGGGTTACATGGTGTCACAGCTAAGGATTGTTCTGCATGCATGCTCTGTAGAGCAGGGAAATTTTAGCACAGGGAGAAGAGCTGAGAAAGAACCACTATACGTAGTAATTCTGGAGGACATAAAGAAGTCAGTGGTTTGACTTGTCCCTTTGAACCTGTTCACTAAATGATCAGGAGTGGTGAGGTGACAAAGTTGGCTGCTGATGAGCAAGTATTCTGAGTAATTCAAAGCAAAAACATTATTGCAAAGATTGTAGAAGGATCTTGAGATACCGAGTGGTAAAGGATTGGGAAAATGATTGTTGAAGTATCTTGGCAGGAATGGGAAACATTTAGTCCTGTTATAAAATGAAATTCAAGAGCTGTTTTAATTAAAAGTGAATTGAAAGATTTTGCATGATGAACAAACAGAAGTTCTCTTACCGCTTACTGCTTTTCTCCTCTGACTTCTAGCCTCAGGTGAGGAAGGAGGTGAGGGAAGACAATCTAGATGTGAAGACGTTGAACTGACTTTCTTTTGAGAGTGTTCTTCTGAAAGATTCACAAGTTTCTTTATTGGTAGCCCAGCTGCAGGCTGCTTGTACCTTGCGTACTGCAGTGCTTCTGTGATCCATCTCATTTCCCTCCAGATCTCATCAACTTGCTTTTGAGGAAAAAATTAGTGAAAAACTACAGTTATGTCTGCATAGTAATTCTACCTCAGCGTGTACTTGTGAGTTCCTAACCAGGTGAGCAGTCGCTGTCATCGGAGAGAAGCAGGTTTTAGTCTGAACTGCCTTTGGTTAGGCGCTTTTTGTTTCCCACTACTGCAGAGTCTGCTTAAGGCCTAGATTTTAAATAAGCTATCTGAATGGAGAATCTGTAGGTAGGAGGGATAAATCTAGGCCTAAGTTCTGACATGGAAATAAATGAAAACTGTCTTTCGATGGAGGATGAAGCTTAATCAGTTTTGTAGTGTGCTTGAAAGTTGGTTTCATTCTGCGTTGGGATGAAATCAGGATGTTTCAAGGATTCCTGTGAACCCACAATTCCACTGAAAAGCAAAATGCTCAGATCAAACCCAGTTTTCGAGCAGTAGAAGAATATGTGTGCACGTGTCTGCACATGGGGCATCACAGCAAATCTGTGAGACAAACTGCAGTTTTTCTCCCTTGCTATTCTGGTCTGTATGCATTTTAACAGTATAAATCCACACAGGACAGTTCTAATTCATGCCTGTTGATGGCAATAAGAGACAAGTACGAAAATCAATTGCAGAATAAGGCTTCAAGCATTTAAGCATAGAAAAGATACAATTTAATTTGGGTCTTGCGAGTCTTTCGATAAAAGAACACCGTCAGTGTCTTGCCAGTGAGCTAATTCCAATAGTAACCACAGATGGTTCAGGTGTTGGTTCACAGTCCAACTTCATTTCAAGACTTAAGTGTAGCTCCACAAAAGGAATACAATTGCTTGACCAGTTAGTGAACTTCTCATCTGTTTGACTGTGGAGATCTTATATTTTCTTTCTGCCATCCTCCTTCAGCCCTGAACAAAAATCACACTGCTTCCAGTTTGTGGAAATGCAAATCCCCTGAATTTTCTCTGTGATGCCATTCTACAGCATCTCACAGGACAGCGAATCAGTCATTTTAATGAACTGTAGTTCTTAAATTATTTAGGAATGCTTGAAGCACTGTGCTGTATAAATTACAGTGACTAGACATTTTGTCTTGCTGTCTAACATTCTGGGAAAGATGCTGAGTACCTTATCTGCTGTTGTGTTGTTGTTGTTGAAAAATATTTTTACATTTTAGCTGCCCCGACTCCTTTTCAGAACTGCATTCACGTAGACTCCCTTGCTCTTTACAATGTTTGGTTTGTGTAGTAACTTCAACACTGTCTTAGATCTAGGATCACACAACTGCTCTCGTGGTTTTGTGGTCACCGCTGAAGATTGTGGTATGTGGTGGGCTGAGATATTTTTGCCAATAGGTGGAATACAGCTGGTTTTCATTTAAGAGGAAACCTGACAAGGCTAATACACTGTCACAATAACTCAGCACAAAACGCGGAAGTTTAAAATATTCTCCTGTATTTTCCTAGCATGATTCTATGATTTACACGTGACTTAAAGACTCTGGAGAGAAGGAACATAGAACTGTCTATAAAGTGTGTATGTATTAATATACGTATATTCATTTTTGATGTGAAAGGTAAAAGTTTCCCAGATGCTCCAGCACAGTGGAAAACCAGATTTTCTGAGTGTGAGAATGGGGAGATGAGGAGGAAGGAGATAATGGAGATGTGAAAGCACAATGCTATGCTCCTCTCTGCTCCTCTGCAGGTTTCTCACAGCTCCGAAGTAGACTATGCAAAGGGGATCTGAATTCAGAGCAAGGAAAAACAGAAATATTATCATCTTATTCATAATTATGAAGGCCAAATATGTTATTAATGAGATAGTGATTGCATTGGCCCCTGCTCCAACAAGGTGTCTACAATATAAAAACATGGAGCTGTAAACCGATCTGCACTTCACTAGTAGAAACACAGATCAACCAGGTGCACAGATGTCCTCTGGACAGGGCAAGGGTTTTACCTATGAGTAATCAATTACCAAAATGGTTTGCAGAAGTGCAGAGAAAAACTATTACTGAACAGAATGCCCATGCATGGCAATAGCTTACCTCACATTCGATGGCAGCGAGTTTTACAAGCAGGCTGACACATTTCTGTGTAACAGCCTAGCACGACCGTCATTTGATTTTACCCATAAAAATCCTTGTATAAAAGCAACAACTAAGGAAATCATGTTCTGGGTTAGAATTTCATAAAAGCAGAATTGCGCTTTTGATACAGCTACTCTTTTTATGACGTCTGTGAATAATTCTCCATTTAGATTTCAAATTACACCCGATGCAGTTTTTAAGAAAGCCACCTTAAAATCTCCTTGGAATAGTCAGAAACAGACGATTACCTGTATGTAGTCCATAACTTGCTGGTGTCTTTGTTTGGCTGCAGCGACTTCACTGTCTGAAATTGCTTCCCTCAGGGACTGCTGGGTTTTCAGAGAGTCCAGCTCCATGACAGCAGAAAGGCGGCAATACAGGCTTATAAATTTTTCCTTGTAACAGCAAAAATGAACTGTGAAAAGACCAAGTGCAAAGGAAACACTGTTATACTCTGGTTATGAAATATGAAATCCTTAGCTCTCAGAACACAAATTTTATTAAATGTAATTATTAACTCTCTGGATGGGTTACTTAAAGCTGGAAATAAATAATACAGGCTCTAGTTCTCCTCTCATTTACACTGGATTTACTCTGTTACTTCATCAATTTCAAAAGAGTCATTTCTAATTTATATCTATGTGAAGGGATAATCAGGCCCTCAGTATGCAACTCCTGAGGCTGTTTTGCCCTCGATAGCTTTAATCAGAGGGCTCTTTTCTGAGGCTCATCATTTCTTTTATCAAGCAAGCAGTGACATGACTGGAAAACTGAACTCTCTTTTTTCTTTTTAATTGGGTGTTTCAGAAAAAAGTACCATTTTGGAGGATGATAACTTTCTTTCGGCCTAGGCTAACATAAATCAGTAACTCAGATGTAAATGACAGCATTAAAAGCATTTCAATGACATCACAGTTCAGGTGAAACAATTAAAACATTGTTAGTTGTTATCATGTGCTGCCCTCTGAACTGTTGTGCAGCAGGGCAGTGCAGACAGCTCAAACTGACATCTCTGTGCAGTCGGATGCAGTAGCACAGAGCTGGGTGAGCTGCCACTGAAAGAGCCAAGAGATGGAACAGCTACATGGAGCTTCACAGACATTAATTTGCCTGGCCTCTTAACGCCATGTTCTTCCAGAACCTCATGTGCTCAGGCAGAACTTGCCAGTGATCTCTGCAAGCTGCAGTACAGACATATGAAAGTTGCTGAGGGAGAGCAAGTTTTCAACATAGCTCGCCATCACTGCAAGCAAACAGTGTGATCTTGTTATGCAGTGAATGGCAGCTGGCTTAATACTGCTGCATTTCGGGAGGGGGCATGATGTTTTGTAGGGTATTTCGAGTGCAAAGTGCATAATTTCTTCTTATCATAAATAGAAAAACAAAAACTGTCATAGATCTATGTATCCCTTACAACCAGCACGATGAGGAAAAGTAATAATTTCTCAACATGAGAAATCCGATCCCAGAAACATCAATGAACGCAGAATCTGAAACAGAAATCCCACCAAAAAAGGTGAGTGAAAAAGAATTCTGCCTTCTGGTTTCCCAATGATGCCTAGATACTGCAGGGATCTCGTCTGAATAGTGTGTGGTCTCACAGCATATATGCCATATGTGATGGACTCTTGAGTGAATTACAGCCGCGGTTTCAGCTTCAGTGCTGAAGTTTCTGGCCTTTGTGGTTTTAAGTCAGACCTTTTAATGTTACTTTAACAAATGTTACTTCAACGTAGTCTTTTGTGGTTATGCAATTATATAGTTGGTAGCCACCAGCTAATGGGGAATGGAAGCTTCTAATATTTGAGATGTGAATCACAGTCACTTCACAGAACATCAGGGATACATATGTAACAAGTCATGTAGAAAATGTCATCTGCCCATGGCTAGATGATTGCTTACTTTAATTTAAAAAAAAAAAAAAGTAAAATTCAGCTTTCCATTCTGACATGAGCTTCTTCCCCACTGAAGCAACATTGCTACGCTGAGGTTTGCACACAGACTGCTATTTAAGAGATGACTCTTTGCATGTTTATCTGCACCACATCATTCCACTCTGTCCATCGATTTCTCAGCTCAAGGCAAACTGCATTCCAGAAGCGAGCATAGCTCTCACCCATGGTCTGTGTACCACACGATGAGAGTTAAATAGTTTGCAAGACCTGTAGTACAGAGACGAATTTCAGCAGAGGTGAATATACTTCATGCATTAATTTGCACAGTGAATGCAGTAGTCACCGTTCATAGGGAGAAATAATATGCTGAATACACAGAGTCTAACTGTCGACCTCAGGCTGCATGTCAAGAAGACTGTAAATCTGGCTTTAGGGCACTACTGTCACATCAAATGCCACAGCCATGTGACCCAAAGCTCTGAACTATCACTTCTAGTTCAATTACGTTAGTTCTCTGTTGAAGGGGTAACTCTGCCTTGGCAGAATAGAGAGCAGCTCACGTATTGTCTGTTTGTAGCACTCCATAATTCTATGGCAGCTCCGCTGTCATCTGTCCTCCCACAGCCAGCAAAAAACCCAGAGTTGTCACGGGCACCAATCTCTGCGCCCTGGCAGATGTGACATAAACACAATCGTATGCTCCTGCCTGATTCAAGTAAGATTTGTGCTGCTGGATGATGGGAAGTCACCAATCTATTGTGCCTGCAGACCCCCAACCTCAGCTAAAAGACCTTCCATTAAATCCAGTCACTGTTCTCCTCCACCAGTGACTGCCAACACCCAGTGATGGCGTACAGGACACAAGATGGTGACAGTGGTGGCGTCTCACCAACACTTGAGAGACACGCAGCACCGAGGACCTGCTGTCATATTACAAAGTGGCTCCCTGTGTACTGCCTCCATCAGTTGTGGCTCTTATCTTTCTCTCTCTAAGACAGAGGCAAGAAATAATAACAAGCAATTTTACAGGCCAGAAGGAAACAGAAGAGCCTAATGTGTAAGGCTCAGCAGTCCCCTTACTCATCATTTTCCTTCTACAAAGGACTCTAGCATATCTCATGATAGCAGACTTTTCCTGCTGCAGCAGTAGAACTGAGCATCCCACATTCTTTCAAGAATCAGAAAGAAAAGGATGACTGTGATCTGGGAAACTCCACTTAGACCCTTAACAAAGGTATCTATATGTAAAGGCAGGAGCTGCAAAAATCATCCTCTTCAAACCTGGTTATTCCTGTGGCAATTTAGAGGCATGCTTTTTATTGCGTCTGCTTTGACACTCCAACATTGCCATGCCATTTTTCTTTTTTAATTCTGATTTTTAAAGAGCATCAACTTCCAAGCAAGTTTGAAGATACATTCTGGATACTGTGGGCTTTGCTCTATGCTTTGCATTTCAATAACGATTGCTACAGTATATGCTTTAACCGCTCTGCTCCCTCTGTAACTTGTACACAGTTATAGGTAGTGTTGTTGCCAAAGCCATCATGTGATTTATTGACTCTCCACTGGGACAAGGGGGAAAACAGATACAACTTTGTGATTTTATTATAAGGAGACTGGGTTAATATTTCTAGGTGAAGCAAGCTACTATACCGAGTTCAAACATCTGAAGAGGGAGGTTAAGAAATCCTGAGTGTGGGGTGTAAGGATTATTCTGTCCTGGGGCAGTGCAGACGTCGTCTGAGGCGGGGAGCAGGAGAAGAAAGGAGACATTGTGACCCAGTTCCAACACCTCCTGTGTATACAGACGGAAGTGCTTAGCCTGTAGAGGGACACGCGCGGGGGAAGAAATAGGAGAGAATTACAACATGGCACTTATATAAACAACACCCCAAATGATATAAAACATTAAAGAAAATTTGCACAACATCAAGCTTGGAATTTTTATAAAACATAAATATTTGGGGGGGGGCTCTAAATGTGGGTTCATGTCACTACATAAAATAAAGATTTAAAGCTGCAATGTTCCACGCTAAAACAACACACACAGGCACAGCCCCCCTGAAAACAACATTTATGTTTCTTATTAGGCAGAAAATGATCACATGCCATGTGCTTTTCAAGATTATGATTGCATAATTATGTGAAAACATGAAAATGGATTCAATTAAAAACCTTTAAGATTCAATTTAGGGTTGGTTAAGAGAAATATGCAGCTCTCCCTCAACACAGCACTGAAAAGGTTTAACAAGTGCTGCAGCAGCAGCGAATGGCACACGCAGCGCTTGCCTGAGGCTGCTGCACAGCTGCACTTCTCTCAGGGAGTGCAACAGCATCACTGTCCACGATTCTGCCCACCACAAAGACAACAAAACTGCACAACTGCACCTGTTGAACAAAAAACCCAATTTGGTAGCACAGAAGTTCCATCCTGAGTCATCAAAACTTTTATAACTGCGCTTAACTGCAAGGGCAGGTTTACGTCTATCCCTTGTGCACAGCAGATGAGCTTAAACGCTTTGCTGGGCTGCAGCCTATAGAACAAATTGCACATTGCTTTCAATATTTTATTCCCTAGCTCAAAAAAAACCCTAACAAAGGTACAAAAGCTACAACCTTCAAGAAAATACACTGGTGCAGGGACCTGTACAAAGCCCTACCGGATTAGTGGCTGACCACAAGGCAGCACACCACCTGTCTTCATTTTGGATTTACTTGAGCCTTACGTAGCTCTTCCTAGGCTAGAATGTGCAGCATTGATGGATTCCTCTTTAAAATAAAGCCAAAGCCTTTCAAAAACAAGAATTGTTGAGCCAGATTAATTCATTTTAAGGCCACAGCTTTTTAGCTGCACAGATTTTGAAGTGAATATAAAGATGATTTACTTCTACCGTAAGCCCTCTTTACCCTTGTAGACCAAAATAAAGTGGAATTTGTGTAAACAAGAAACAAACTCCTTAGCTTGTTTTTCCATGGATCTTTCACATCATAGATTATCCCCTCTGCCTTCTTTATTTATTCAAATATGCATCTGTTCGTAAACGTAAAGCCAGAAGCCAGATACCTCTCCTCACCCACAGCAATCTAGAGGTCTGAGCCTATGTGTTTTAGGAGTCTTTATTTGTGTGAAAGAACTGCACAGTGCTGAGCCTTCAGTAGCCTTTTGTACACCCTCAGTGTTACCTCCAAAACAACCATCATTTGCCCCTCTTCCCTGCTAAAAGACCTGTCTTCCTTTGCCAGCTGGGTAAAGGTGCTCACAGCTACTTGAGTTTCATGCAGGAGTGCTTATTTGCACCTGCCCAAAGTTGTATGCTAACAGATACAGAAATAGGAGCCTTCGAATATTAGTCTCTAAAACCTTCTGCGTTCAAATATCCAGGAAAATAACTAACAACTTGAAGGTGTCTCCCCCCTCAGCTAGAAGTATTGAATAGAAAGGTTCTTTGCTTCTCTTTTCTTAGAACATTTACATTTAATTCCTACTCTGAAGTTACATTTTAGCTTTAGCTGTGTTCTTAAGAATTAGTTTTAAAAAGGGTGATAAATACCACAAAGGAAAATACCTGATGCAGAGGTAGATTGATCTGTTTAAGGAGAGCTTTCACTGCCATCTGGAGCTCATACAAGAACAATTGAGTAGGGCAGTCTGAAGTATGATCCATACTTTCCACAGATTCTGAGCCAGAAAGTGTTTGGATCCATTCCCACTCATCTCTGTATGTTGAGTTGAGTTAAAATTAGAAATATAACAAAAGTTCAGTGCACAAGAAGGAATTCAGTGTATGTGCATTCAGGATCTGTTGATAGTTTAATCCTCATATAGCAAAACATTCTAAAATTGTGCAATTCTGATTGTTTGTGGTTGAAAATCTAGCATAGAGAAACTTAATTTTTCTAGCACGTGTACAGCAGGCTGAACGTTCCTTGCGAACGTCTTAAAGTCCGACGGCCTTTGAAATATGTGGCTAAGGCTCCTCACTCCAGGTTTGCTTTTTCACATTTATTTATTTTCCATGTATTAATGTGCCCTGGCAGCCCAGACAGCCAACCATGTCCTGGGCTGCATCAAAAGCAGTGTGGCCAGCAGGGTGAGGGAGGTGATCCTGTCCCTCTGCTCTGCGCTGCTGAGGCCTCACCTGGAGCGCTGTGTTCACAGGTGGAGTCCTCAGCACAGGAAGGACGTGGACCTGCTGAAGTGCGTCCAGAGGAGGGCCATAAAAATGATCCAAGGGGGGAAACACTTCTATGAGGACAGTCTGAGAGAGCTGGGGCTGTGCAGCCTGGAGAAGAGAAGGCTGCGAGGTAACCTGAGAGCAGCCTGTCAGTATCCAAAGCTACAGAACTAGAGAGCTACAGAAAGAAGGGGACAGACTCTTTAGTAGGGACTGTGGAACAAGGGGAAATGGCTTCAAGCTTTAAAAGTATAGATTTGGGTAGGATATAAGGAAAAAATCTTCTACAGTGAGGGTGGTGAGGCTCTGGAACAGTTTGTCCCGAGATGTGGTTGATGCCTCACCCCTGGAGACTTTCAAGGCCAGGCTGGATCAGGCTCTGGGTAACCTGATCTAGTTGTGCATGTCTCTGTTCTTTGCAGGGGAGTTGGACAAGATGACCTGTAAACGTCCCTTCCAACTCTAAGGATTCTGTGATTCTAGGATATCTAATTCCATATGGAGGTCCCTTCCAACCCAAGCCATTCTATGATTCTATGATTCTATGAGTGACCAGAAGGAGTGGATCCAGGATCTTCCCCTTCCCAGACCTCATTTAAGGGTTGGCAGTGGAGGCAAGAGCATCTCACCTGGAGAGCCCTGTGTACCTGATGGTAGGCAGCTTTTTTGCCTTTATTTCAGGCCAAACAAAGGTCTGATCTTAAACCTCAAGAGTCAGAAACTATTATAAATCCTTACAAATGGAGAAACATCTTTTCCAGTACTCAGGAGTTCAACAGCTGATAGCATGTCTGAATATGCTGTATGTTTGCTATGGATTAGAGTGAAAAAATAGATAATGCACAAGAGAATACACTGAAAAATGACAAACACCCTGTAGTCAATAGAAAGGAGAACACTGAATTTACTGGCAGCTGAATCATGGGCTGCAGACTGTCATCTTTATAAAAGATGTATGGAAGACTGTTCCCACCACGGCGAATGTGAGCGACCACAGAATACTATCCTTAGAAACCCATGTGCTCACATGTATTTGTTTTGGACAGAACTTCAGAGCTGCTGGAATCGCACCGGTGCACTTGTTTAGTGCAGCCCTGATCTCTCTGGTACACACCTGAGGCAGACTTTGCAGGCAGCTACAATTCTTCAACGACAAAATCGCATTAGACTTAAAAGTTCTCTCTCCATATGTGTGTGTGTAAACTCATGTGTATTGACTTACCTGGAGACATTGCTGTTGTCTCGGATTTTGACATGACAGAGGACATTAGGCAACTTCTGCAACACAAGGACTTTGATTTGATCCACAGAACTGCAGAGTTTAAGGTAACCCAGATACAATCCAGGAGGGAGGCGTTGCTGACTTCTTCTGTGATAGGAGAGTATGTCCTGTTTTGAGAGAAACAGTCCTACATTAAAAGCCTTATCAAAAAGCAACACATGCTTTTATAGCTGTCTTTTTGTGTCACCAGTATTCCCAATTCCCAGTATTTAAGCACATGCTAAAGCATGCAAATAATCTCTGGTAGTTTGGATTCCCTTGGACAACTTCCTACTTAAAGTCATATACAGGTTCACAAAGCTCTCCACATCATGCATGTACTGGCACTAAAAAACTGTGATTTCAACCTTCTACTGTTGTATTTAACTTCAATAGCACGCACCCTGCACTCATCTGATGTCTTCAGTAGCAAGCTGGGGCAGAGAACTGTGTCAGCTGCAAAGCAACTCAGCAAAAAAGCAGCTGTTTTTTAGCCAGGTAAATTCCCTGCTTCATTTCTGGTGTGTGGATACACAGAGAAGGGTGGCATGAGGAAAAAGCTATCAGCTGGGGAAGGTAGGACAGAGAGGCTGCACAAACCAGTACTGGCACCAGAGAAATGCATGTAGATCTCTCGAAAACCTCTTTCTGTTTTCCCCTGCTATCAACAAGAAGATCTCTGTAAGTATGGGAGTTGGGGGCTTACAAAGATTAATTAATGACTGTGCTTTCTGAGCAAATATCTTTATCAACAAATAGAGCTCAGAAAGAATGAAAACTGATGGCATATTTACTGAAGCCAGGAGAAGTTTTTAAGGCTACATATAGCTGTCCCCAGGAACTATTCTAAAAAGGATATCTGCTGCCATCCTGAGAAATGTGTGCCTCTGCAGTGGGTGAGGATTAAGACACCTGGCCTTACGCCTTTACTCTTGGAACCATCAAATTATCTTCCAGTGCTTTGCTTGGCTCTGACCAATGCAATTAGACCCTCATTTTCACAAGCACTTCATGAACAAAATACCCATTCGATGATTAAACAAGTAATACAAGAAAGGGTGGGCATTAGATAGGAATGTGTAAACCATTAGGGGAACATTTTTTCCACTAGGATCTTTGTGGAAATTTGATCATGGCCTGTATTTTGGGTTTCCTAATATAAAACTTTTGCCCAGATTGACATTTTTCTACACCTTTAACACATTTTAATACAGTAAATCTAACATAGATCAGGTAGGTTTTATTGTCTTTTGGAAATTTTTTAATGTTCCTAAAAGCTGGTAACGTATATTTTGATTCCCTGTCAGTTTCTGGTACCAAAAGCACAGTCTCTGCCCAAGAAAGTTCCTCAAATGTGAAAATGAACAATGGCAGTCATTGTCTAGCTGAAGTGACAAAAGAAGGGACTGGGACAATATTTGTCAAGTAGTATTTCAGGTAACTTTGCCACTCATTTGAAGAGAGAGACTGGCTACAGACATTTTCTGAGCAATAAGTTGTTACCTACAGAAAACATGCATTCATCTTTTAACTACACAGATTCAACAGGAATTCACTGAGTCCTGAAGGGCTGGAAACCCCTGGCTGTCAATGATGTCAACTGAGCTGACAACTCCAGCACCTTCTGGGATCAATCCTTACCTTAGTATTGCTCTAAATATGAAGCCTAGGAGTGTGTTATGCAGAATTAAGGAAGGATTATGGTCAATAAAGAATTCTGTAGCAACTATACCAGGCACTAAGGAACTCTGAACCCCAAAGAACAACTTTATTAAGTAGAACAGTAGATATTATACTTAAATGATTGTTCAGGGTTATGTGGAAAAATCTTATGGTGCACAGAAATTGTAAGTGTCTGTATGGGTGCTTAAGAACATCCTAGAGAGTTTTAAATGTTTATAGCCCTTGCTAAGGAATGCTATAGCATGGCTTCCCAAAACTGATAGAAACAGCACCATTCTCTGCTAGGACTTTGAAGTAATTTCTTTCTAATCTCACAGATATTTTACATATTAGGGATCTGATCCCAGCCCCACTGGAAGTAATATAAGTCTTTTCTTTCAATGGGAGCCTTGCCACTAGTTTTATTGGGCACTGGACTAAGGCCTAAAATTCTACAAGAATCTTCCAAAATCAGGGCTCTGGCACAGGCTTTACAAAAGCAAATAACATACAGTTAAGAGAGGCAAAGCACTACCTGGATTGTTATAAGCAAAATGTCTAATGCTGTTGGCTCCTCTGGCGTTGAAAGGGATTTCCTCTGGCTTTGTAGTTTGGATACCTGCATCCATTTGCCATTAAAAAATGAATAAAGACTCTCCACCTCTCTTATAGTAACAATCAATATATTGCCATGCCGATCCTTGATTGGCTCATAAAAAACTCTGCCGAGGTTGTGAGTTCCCAGCAAGTTCTAGAAAAGAAGAAAATTATAACATGGCAGTTATTTACTGCATATCAGGAAGGTGCATTTTCTGAAAGTTAACTTTACGCTCCCTGACGTCTGACCTATTGACTTCAGTAAAAACCAGTCACACAGCCTTTCTTACGTCCTTGCCCTGCAGTCACATCATGCAGTGGCAAAAGGAGGAGTTACTTTAGCATCTGGTCCAGCAGTGTTCAGTCTAGTGTTTACCAGAGAATATCAGACTGTCACAAACCAATGCCTTTGTAAAAGGGCTGGCTGCAAATTCACTTCTACCCCCGGATCGCACCCAGTTATGTAAAGGTAAAGGATACTGCCTTCAAAAGCACTCAGTGTCGGTCTAGAGGTGATTCCTTTGGTATCAATGAAGTCCTTCTGCTTAGAACTTACCAAAGAGCTAGATGCATACCTAAATGAGAGATGCAGCACATATCAGTGATACCGAATTCATACTGGAGACTTCAAATGTTTTCTGTTAAGATCATTAACTATAACCTCAATGTATTGTTCTCCGTTTCAAAATGATGCTGATTATTTTCAGCAACAAAAGCAGGAGGCCCTCATATCTGCACTGAATGTAAACAGTTCTGGAGTTGAACTGCGGGCTGTGTTTATGAAGGACCACAAAGGAATTTGAAAAGACACGGACCCTTTTTCTTTTACTTCAGATACCAAGAATGTGCTAGACAAACCAGCAGAAGCAAACTACCAAAGCAAAGCTCTCCAGGAAAATATGTGAGGATTAAAGAAAAGTAATTTTAAAAGACTCCACATAAAATACATATTTTGGTCAAAATCCCTTTCCTCACACAGAAAGGCATCTGCTCATAGGTGCAAACATACTCAGTCCAGTCACCAGCCACTGAAGAGATTCCCAGATGTCTTAAAGAAAAATGCCTAACATTTAAAATATGCTCATTACTTCAGGACTTTTCAAGAGTTCTACAGTAAGCAGGGTAGGGATGGGGGTTGTTTAAAATGACAATTCAAATTCACAATCTAGCACACCGTACGCTTAAGGAAGTGCTGTAACATAATGGCATTGTAAGGTGATAGACTGCCCTGACATTTTTTTTTAATCTGTATGTAGCTGACAATATTTACTTATAAACTTTATCATTGAATCGTTTGTAAACTCTAGATAGGCTGACCTCTTGGTGACAAAACTCAGCAGTTTTTGCTTTAAGCATCCCTCTCCAAAGCATGCTGCTGGCGCCTGTCCCACATCCTTTTTCCTCACTGTTCTACCTGTTGAGGTGAGCCTCCATCACTGATTACACTGGGTGGTTTTGCTATGCATTTTGTTTGAATCTGTGTGTCCACAGATGGGGCAGATTATTACAGGGAGATGTTTAGCTATCTGTTGTGATGTTAAACTGAGTATAAGAATGTGCCTAAATGGAAACAGATAGATCGTTATTGTCACTGATGGCTGTATGCTGTGAATGACATTCCAGCAGAGAGAATGGGGGCACCCACTAATGGGAATTATGGCTAATTCATGCACTGAAAAAAGTTTTGTGTCTGCTTTGCATGGCATCCCATCTCTTGAGATTTGTTTGCTTAGTTGTCTAGTGGTAACAGCAGGCAAAATTACAGTCTCCGTTGCCTCTGAATCCTGGTCCTGTCCCTCAGCAGCTGTGTTATCACTGATCTTTTCCATTCTGTCCTAAATTCCTGTGGAGTCAGACTGTTAACTGCCTCACTAAAATGTATTCAACCGTATAAACTTTACTGAGATCCTTCTATTGGTGGATCCCATTAGGCCACACACTGTTAAAGGCTGGCAGACCTGTGACAATTCCTGTGCTCATCAGGGGACCAAACTAACAGAACAAACGATGAGGACAGTAAAGCTGCCAAAAATCCAACAGAGCAATGTACCTTCTGGGCATATGTGCCATATCTCTGTGCCTCAAGTTCTGTTCTTACCCTCTCTGGTAGCAATCAACACAACGGAATCTTGCTCATCTCAAACTGCAGTCTGTGCACACTAACAATGCTCTCTTAGGGAAGGAATGAAACTGAGCTAACCAAAGGAGTACGCGCTACCCAGGCTGAGCTAACCACACCAGGGGGACCCTTCAGCAGATACAGTTAAAACTGTCTCCAGTGAGAACTCAAAGGACTGGCAAGCAGCTGCTGCTTAGCACAGGTGGTCCTCCAATAAAGGTGCAGCAGGCTGGCATTCCATATATTTCGGGATACTTTGGGGAAATCAGTGAAGACAGGTGGTTGCCCAGGAAGGCTATTCTTCTGTACAGCTTGCTTTGCCAAAAGATGTAAAACAAACCCCACACAGATATTCTTAATAATGGCCACGAAGTATCTGGCTCTCACAGCTGCTATAAAAGCGAGCTTATTGCGTGGACTGGCAATAAGAGAGGGATGGCCGTATTGCTAACGCGTGAGCCAAGCACTATGAAGATCTCCATTAATGCTGTGACTGTACCACAGTTTTCTGGGCATTTTTGGTGACGTCATTCAAACAAGTGAGGTCTGCATATACTTTTTCTGTAAGGATCATGTCCACACCTTTGTGAATTTCTTTCTTTTCCACAAAAGTAAATATTTAATGACAGCAGTTGCCGTCCTGCTAGAAATGTCACATTACTGCCAGCACGTTCCTCACAAGTTTTACAGTGTCCAAACATTCTCCTAGAGAAATGCTGTAACAAAGAACAATCACTATTGGAGGTTGGAAGGTCATGGAGCTAATAGCTAGAAACAGGCAATGCAACCAACCTGGAGCTGTGCTGCTGCAGAAAGCATCTTTTGCCTGGCTTGAAGTGTTGTTGATGAGGAGATGGATACAGACATATTCTGCCTCAGCCATCTGATATCATCCCACATACAAGACAACTGCAAAAATATGTCTATTCAGTCAGTTTTTGTTCTCAGCTTTTACGAAAGCAGAAATTAAAAGCATTATGGACTTTGAAAAATCAGTAGATGTTCATCTTGAGTTTCTGTGGGTGGCAATAGTTGCCTAGATAAGCATAAAACAGATATCAAATCACACAGAAATAATTCTGTAAACACCGTGCACCTATTAAATCATTTTTTAGACTACTGAGTAAAAATGATTTACTGTTTCCTAGGGAATAAAAAATAGTGTGAAGATACCTTTAAGGGTGGCATAACCATTACACCAACTTCAAAACATCTAATGGCTTTTTTTAGGCTCTTCCTCTAAATGTTCATAAAACCTTTCTGTTCCTAGTGAGCAGCCAACAGATGTAGGATCAGACATTTAGAAGAGTTCATTGTGCTGTGGTCAGCGACTCAACCAGAATTTCACCCATGCAGATGCTGTTTGGAAATTACATTTTAACATGAGTAAAAGATGAAGCACTTCATCACTTAGCATTTTAATGCTCTCAGAATGATCAGCTAAGGTTTCTGCATGGCTAGCAATGCATTTTTAGAAGCAATATATGAAATTAGGTTCCCATTACCTTTGTGAACCACAGGAAATCCTGCATAATTGAACTACTGTGAGAGTCATCAATTTCCACAATTGGGATCTGATCTTCATTGGTTACCAACAGATTGTCTTTGTAAAAAAATATGACAGACAAGTAGAGTCCCCTAGAGAAAAAAAGAATCCGTGTCAAACAGCTTTCATGTCTATTAACATCTAAGCCAAATTTTTGCTGCTGAATCATAGATTTTAAGTTCTGAGGAGGCAGAACAAATCAACTGATCTTAACTTTTGTGTTTTATAGTTCATGCAACTCCAGGTAGAGAATTCTGAAAAATACGTGGGAAGGCTTTTTCTTCAGATGATGTGAGACTACAAGAATTTAAGGAATTATGAATCTGTGCAAGTCACTGACATCAACTTTAGCAAGAGTTTTGCCAGAGTAAATAGTATACAATGGAGGGTTTATGCTCTCTAGAAATCAAAAATTCTACCAAAACTTTTTATCATTAATGGGCTTAGTTTTGCTCTCATTTACTTCAGAGCAAATCTGAAATAACTCAATTGAAATCAGTAGGGTTATTATGGATTTACATTAGTGTAATTGAGTGTAATTTGGCCAGCATATCTGCAAAACTGTTTATAGAGATCATTCCTTTCAATATTTACCCTTGCAATTAGTTGCATACATTAAGTAGTTGCCTTAGGGAATTTAAAGACTCTGGAGAACTCTTCTGAAAGAATCAAACTCTTATCAAAATACAAAGAAGAAAAAGCAAACTGAATGCGCCTGGCAATGAAAGAAGAAATAATCCAGCCTAAGAAACTTTCATTTGCTAAAATAAACTATCAAGGCAAAGGGTTGCTTGGGTCGTGCTGGGCTGCAAACCTAGCTAAAAACATTAGAAAGTTTTTGACGTGCTGCTTGATGCCAATGAGGTATTAGTATCTGCAGAACACGTCATCTGAGCTCTGCATTTTTCATTATGAATGAAATAAATCCCAGTTTCCTTATTGAGCAGCAATGGAGGCTTCACTTAGCAATTCCTCAGTGACTGTACTGTTGTGTTTGCACACAATATTTTCCCATTACAACTCAAACCGTTTTCCAAGTAGTAACAATCAAAGATTGCCAACGATTTCAGTAGGAACTGCAGCATTATTTTCCTATCAGATGCATCAGTCTCACACGTATGTAACTGCATCAGGTTCATTCAGACGTTGCTGTTTCACTGGAAGTAGAATTTGCGTACATCTATTTTTAAGGTGCTGTTCACTATTACATAAAAGCAATAACTTGGAATGTTTGGGAGATGAAATGAAGGACAGACCGCTTCAGAGTCTTCACAAACTTGTTTGATGAATGAAAAAGGTGCTTCAGGCTTCTAGAGACGGACTGCTTGCGGCCAGTGTTCTGTAATTTGGAACTTTCTAAAATGGAAAATAGAAACAAAACCAAATGCAGCACTTCAATTTGAGATCATAAATCATAAAAAGCCTTTGTTTGTTGAACCATACTGATAATTCAGTGCCCACCTTATTCCTTCCAACAGACAACATTCAGAACCATGCTGATTTACGCTTGCTTGTATTTTCTTTCTCTTAACAATACTCTTCATCAAATGATTTCTTTAAGTGCATCAAACTCAGACTTGGTGGAACTGCTGTTTTGCACCTCGGACCAGTATAGCTTGAAGCACGTGTCGAGGGAGGATATGAATTTTACACGTGGTCCATGAAATTACATCTCAGCCTTCCAGGATCTGACTGTTTTCTCGTTATTTAAAAGAACTACGGATCCCCATCCAGACTCAATTACCAAACATTTTGAGGAACAACCCTCTCCAGTGGGGAAAAATGTGACTCATGAAAGATTTTGAAGGATTTTAAAAGTATTTGCTGCTAATCTGCCTGGCTGTGTTTTTGGAGCAACATATTTCCTACTTACCTCCAGTGCAAAATAGAAGGTGTCTATCTGTGTCTCCCTAGCAAGTTCTAAGTTTGAACATTTAAAGAACATCTAAATTTGCTCCTGTCAAAACCCCATCTGTGGAAGCACTCAACATATTTTTAAATGATGAATAAATTTGCACTGTAATTTGCACATAGAAAACTACAAAGAAAAGACACATTGTTAGCATAATTACCACTTTGCTGAACAGCAAGTACAAAGAGAGCAAGGTTCTACTAGGGCTGAAATCATGCAATTTAGAAGTATGAGACTTATTAGATCACCAAATACATTGTCCTCCCAGTGCTAACTTACTCTGCATGGCATATTCTGCACTGCAGTGCTCAGTTCAGTTTAAATAGACTCATCTTAGTTCACGGCTGCTCCTTTGATGCCACTGATCTTTGATTTCTTTTCCATTTGGAAAAACTCATTTGTTTTCCTGCCCACATCTCCTCACTTTTATTTTACTCTGTGCCTTTTTTTTCAGTTTATCATAGTAACGTAAACCAAATGTGACAGGAAAACTCTTGTCTTAGAAATATAAACTTAATCCTAATTATGAAATTCCTATTTTCTTCTATAATTGCAATGGAAGGAATAGAAGCAGAAATTGCTGAAAGTGAAGCAACATAATTCTATATAGAACACCCAAAGACTGCAGCATTACAATCAGAGGGCACGTTACAAATGAAACCTACATTATTGGGCTATTCAGTGGTTTGGGTTTGGTCCACAATTTTTCAAAGCCCAAAGAAAAAGACATAATGTAAAACTAGATGGAAACTGTAAATTCTCCAATGTTGCTGTCTGCTTTTGTTTGACGTTACAGTATGTCTAGAAGCCAAAAAACATGGAACTGAGATTAGAGGACACTTTGGACCTACAGGAAATGGAACTTTAACAATCTGTTATTTAATTAACTAATAAATAACAGAGCAACCTTTTTACAACAATGGCAGTAAGAACAAAAGTGGATCCTAAGGAACAATACAATAGAGCTGTGAGCTCTGTTAATAGCTCAGGAGCAAACGTATATTGGCCAAGATCAGAGAATTTCCAGTAGATGGATTTAGATCAGAGCATTCACGCTTGGACTGAACTAGGCAATTAACTCTACTTACCACATTAGTTTTTCTCTTCTTAGGGAGGATATATATGTGTGCCTTTGCAGTTCACTTAAATTCAACAGATACATGAAAGCAGCGTAAGTTGGTTGTGAGAAATAAGAAAGTTGCATGCTCCCACTGCTAGCATGCATCTGGGGTTTCTGCTCTAGAGGAATGTCTGCTATGCCATGCCATTTCTCTGAGGAGGAAGATCATCTGGAATTCTTTGTCCTATCACTAGACAAGCGGGTGCCTCTCCTCAAGTGGGGCAGATGTGAAGTAAATGGAATTACCTCAGTGCAAAATTATCTGAGGAGAAATCTTAGCCCCACAGATCAGACGGTCTGTGGAACAACTAAATATCACTAATGGTAACACTGAATAATGAAGCAAATTACTAGAAGTGGAGCTAAATCCTATTGAAATCCTAGCAGAGGGCATAAAATGGGGTTTAGAGTTTTTACTAACAGTGGATGAAAATACATCAAATAACTGGAAACTTCCAGAAGCAAATCATACTCGCTTTCAATCACCATAATTTTAGCAGTGCGAACAACTGACTCTGAATAACATGCACAGAGGCAGAATACCATGCAGAAGTTAAAGGCACGCATAGCCAGCAGACACTTCAGTAGCTTAAGGCCATTACAGACTGCTATTACCTCAACTCAGGATGGGATGTCATCCAAAAGAAAAAACTCTCCTGAGGAAGCTATAGCCCTGTCAGTCACGTTACCAGGTGGTGTATTTTGGAGTACAAAGTCAGGCTCAACAGTTGAGATTGGAACTTCTTAATTTTCCTACCCGAACCTCCCAGTCCGTGGCCAAGTTCTCCAGCCTGTTCTGTGTATCCTCAGTACTTTGTGTATACTCAGTACCTCAGTGTTTGTGTATCCTCATTGCAGTAAAATCTAAACTTTTAAAATGTCCCATGGAATAAGAGATCGTTGTCTTTGTTAAAAGCAATGAAAACGTGATCCCAGGTTGTGAATCAAATTATCATTAGAACAGTTTTATTTCAGTCAATCTCTAGTAAAATACATTTCAACCAAATTTCAGAAAGAAAATATCTAGTAAGCATTTTACTGAAGAGTTGGGTTTCTTTCTTAATGAAGCAACACACAATTGCTTAATCCACTCAGAACTGCTTAGGAAGAATGATCTTCAGGAAAAAAAATACTTAAAAAATACATTTGAAGTGTTGCCAGAACACACAATTGTAGTAATTGGGTTATGATAGTCTGTAGCACGGTATTATGAAGACAAATGGATGACTGTTGTTTGTAATCATCAGGATTTTCCAGAAGATTAAACATATGAAAGCAAAGCTTCCTAAGTAATTCCCTAAGAGATTTCAACATATCACAGAGCAGGTTCAAAAGCAACAGCTGATCTAATTCCAAAAGCTCTTAAACTCACTGTACGTTCCAATGTATTCTTCCTGGTATTTTTGTAAGCTTGTTTTTTTTCAGGCCCTGAAATACAAAGCATGGGGCAAAATGCAGGCTTTGGTGCAAAGCCTGAATGAACAGACGTGAGCAAGAGATGTGTGGAATCTGGGCAATTTAACCCTCCCACATCACTAGCATTGGACCTTGTTCTTACATCTCCTTTATATTCTGAAGCTTTTACTCATCTCAGCCAAATAATCTCAGCCATTTTAGACTGACTGCCCTTTCCACTTTTTTCACCTCCTTTGCACTCTTCCTCTGCTCTCCTTCAGCCAGCCTCAGCAGCACACCTGGGCAGTCCTGCAGAGGGATCACTTCCAGGAAAGCCAAGGGGACAAGGCTTCAGGTTTGAATTTCACTTCACTTTAATTCACTGTGAATTAGTGGCTGCAAGCAGATTCAGTGGTGTTCTTCAAGCAGTTTCAAATTTACTGACACCTCTAAAACAAATGAGGAAAACAGAAGCTACAATGTGCGCTTAGAATGAAAGGAATCTGGAAAAGAGAAACATGATAAAGATTGCTCCAGTGTCAGGCCAGGTCCTCTGCTTAGACATAAAAGCACGTCCACTCTGATTTCTATTCATGACAGTTGAAGCAGGCTTCTGTCTTACGTGCACCAAGTGGAAAAGTTTACTGGGGCTTTTCAGTCATTACTGATAGTTATCTCAGGTCCTTGATGAAACTTCTCAGATGTTGCTGAGATTGACAAATAACAGTCAAATTGCCGTCATAATTCTTAATTTTTCTGCTATTACTTTGTCTTGATTTTTATAATCAAATTCCTGAAATACGAGGGATTGACAGTGTCATATATTTAATGTAAGTTCCAAAGAGTCTTCTCTTATGTCACAGACCTGATTTATCCAAAATACAGTTCTGTGTAATGTTAACATTACAAGCAGTTCTGAGATTCTGATTTAACCAGATCAAGGGCGTTGCTCTTGCTGATTCCACAGAGTAGTACTGCCCTATGGAAGTTCCCACATCCTCTTTCCGACATACAAGAAAATGTTCTGAGCTAAACAGATTCCCTATATTGTTGTCGTGTATTATTTGAGCATAAGGAGCTTGGAAATCAGTAACAGAGTTGTCTGTGCTTTGCTTTGAGACTGGAGTTAATTTCTGAAGCAGCAGAATTTTATGAGAACCAGGTACTGGTGTCAAATTCTTAAAAGAAGGGATTTTCTGCATGTTTGTAACTGCTTCTTCTCTGGGCTGGTATGTCAGTAAAACAATTGATTCTAAGCATATTCTCAGATGTTCCATCACTTACTCCCTGTTCACTAGGAAGGTGGCCTGAAAAACCTCAGAAATGTACCAACTTTGGAAGAGAAAAACCGTACCATGGATAATGACTTGAATCACGAAAAGCTATGTAAGAGATGGAATACATTGTTTGTATTTTTACTACCGTGGCCACCTGCAAATGATAATGTTTGCATGAATTTTAATTAGGGAAACAACATTTTCTTGCAATTTCTCCTTTTCCTTTCCAAGAAACATAATGGAATAGCTCTAGTTGCTATGGTTACAATGGCTTGTGGCAGACTGTGGATCATCATGATTGTGATGTATTTGCACATAAAGAACAAAGGTTGCATCTTTCCATTTTTTCCAGATGATTTGAGCCCTAAGTATTTCTGTGATTTTCAATCAGTTGATGCAGTTTGAAATAACTGTCATACTAAGTGATGAAAAATGAAAACTTCATGGTAGTTCGACTTTTCAGTTTAAAATAAGCTCCTTTGCAATGAAGCATTATTCCAGTTAGAAGTTTATTTTAAGAAAATAAATAGCACTTTTCAACAACCCGTATAGAGCACGAGTTTTTATATATTCTTTAAAACGAATGCCAAGCTGTTGCCTTGGCTCTTGAGCTATTAAAGGCACAGTCTGTTTCTCATGAATGAAGAGCAAAGAGCTGGCTGAGATTCGAACTCTCTCCCAGTTTTGATCCATTCTATTTGAAAATGTAGCAATCTTATCTTCCCACTGCATTGTGCAACTATTTTTCATTATAGATTGGCATCACATCCAGTAGAGTACTTAGTGTCTTCCATTTGGAGGCAGCCAAGTCTCTTTTTTGATCCAAAACAGTTGTTAACTCTCTAAAGTATTTCTTTATATTAAAAAAATAAAAGAGAGACCCTTGAAACATTTTAGCAGAATCCTGCTTAAAACTTACTTGTAGGAAAAAGCACATCAGTAACTGCACAGGGCACAGAGGGAGAAAGGGTGTGTCTGTGCTTGTGTACATTCAAGCTTTCAGATGTTTCCATCCAACTAATTTCAAGGGTTAAGAGCAAGATAGTAAGCTAAAGTGATTCCAGATGGGCCAATATTAATATCTTTCTTTTCCTGATGAATGAGAAGGTATGACCTAGTTAGAAAACTGCTAAAATTACAGGCGCCACAGAGGCTTCAGCTGGTGACCTACCACATAGATATTTATCCTTACCTCTGCAATTATAATGCTGATGAGCTGCTCGAACCTGCTGAAGGAGACGTTCCAGGGCCTCACTATGTCCCCTGTGCCGAGGCTCTCTTCCACTGCAGTCTTTCCAGTCTATTGAACAAAGGAAATAAACAGAAATGAAACACAAAGTAGTAGGAGAAGGTTTTAAAATATTTTCTTGTCTCTGATGTTTCTTGGCTGCAGCGGAGGCTTACATCAGGGCACGCAGGAAAAATGGCAGTTGATTCAAGGCTGCTGCTGTTGCTTGTACAATAAGCTTCCTTTGCTTTGTGCCAGCTGCATAATTAATCATAATGATGATTAACAAAGAGCTCACAATCAGCTCCCAGAAGCTCCTGTAGTGACTGACGAGACAATGGCTTTTTCTCTTTGGCACATAAATAGCTCCTGCTGCTGTAGCATCAGCGCTGCACTCAGCCTGTTCCGTGCTGACCCTCTGTACCTCGCTAAGATCACAGCCCTGCTCCTCCCGTGTTTTATTGAGGCACCATGAGGCTAAATGACCTTCCTACAGTTACGTAGGAAACTGATGGCAAAGCAGAGGGTGAATGTTTTCCAAGAAGCAGGGGTTTTGTCAGTGGCCTCAGAAACGCTGTGAGTAAAAGCACTTCTGAAAACCTCCCAGCACCGAGGCCTGAAGGAAGGCTGGCAATTCCTGCCCCGGCATCATCAGTCTGCTCAGCACTGCACTCATGAGGCAAGAAGCTGTGATTTCTGTCCCACATCCTCTGAACCTTATTTGCCATTAGCTAAAATCTCAGTCTTGATTTTAAAAAGCAGACAGCCCCTTCGCAAACAAGAGGATGAAACTGTCAGAGAGGAGCTCTTTGATTCCGGATTTGACCCTTCCTCACATCGTTATAAGAAAAAATTATTACACCACAGTTTCCTGAAAGAAAGTAATGATGGATCAGGATATTAAGAGATCTGCCTCCAAGGGAGACACGCTTCCATCTTACAGGCACAGCAGCCAATACATATTCAGAGCCACCAGCAAACAGTTTGCTCACTCACTGAATATACAGTTCTACTTTCTAGTGCAAGTTCTGTTAAGCATTCCTTCCAAAGGACTCACTATGCCAGGAATATAAATATATGTTTGCTATCATTTAGTATAGCAGCTAGAGTGGTGGTAAGCCCTATAAAGGGTGAGAAGACAATTGCTATCCTGATAGCCTGTGGGCAGTTGTAACAGCTGCAGGCTGGCTATCCTGCATGATGTATGCTTTTGCAGAGATCAAGAGCCAACTGCATTTATAACTCACGTTGGGAGGTCAGTTCTCAGATCTCCTTTGGCAGCCAAGAGGAACCAAATGGAATTCAGCAATACCAAAAAGCTCTGGGTCATCAGACCAGGGAGGTTTAGAACAACCTCGTGGTTTCTCTGTCTAGGTGGTTCCCAAACTTTTAGACTCTCCAGTCTGCCGACTGCCTTCAAAACGACATGGAAATCAGACCAGCTTCCCACACTGTCCATGAATCACGTGTCTGTCAATAAGCCTAGAAATTTTACTATCCACTGTGGCTTTACAGAGCAGCTGCAGAATGCCAGCCACAGCTTTCCAGGTAGTTACTGTTTGTGAGAGGGAAACAGGACAGTGGCAAGCACTCACTCATGCTGCAAGCATGATTCTCTGAGGACATCACATTTTGATGCTCTGGGATTGGACTGGATCCAGATTAGCCCTGGAGCTTTCATTTACCTAGCATATTCTAGCTGCCATCACAAACAACTTTGTACTTAATGTATTCACATTGAATTTTTACCTTAGGGCCATGTTCCTTAATATAACACCGCTGTAATTTCACATCGCTGCTGTCTTGCCAAGCACAAGTCTGCTAGCTTTCAAAACTAATGGTGTAGGTATCTGCATGGACAAGGTTCTGCCCTTGGTACCTGCATCAGTATCTTGTTTCTCAAGCTAAAATTCTGATATTGCTTAGCAAGAAGATTTTATACTTAGTGAGCATCTCACTTGTTGGAAAGCTTGAGCATATGTCACTAAGGGCATTTCGATGGAAATGCCATACTTGTTGCTGGCTATCTATGTGCAGTGAGCTGAGCCTGTCCAATGTTTCCATGTTCACCAGCAAGGAAAACATACGTACATAGCTACATCCACTGAAATCTGAAGCAAAACTTTCCTCGCAGCTCAAACCTTTGGAGCTGTCATGTACTGTCAGAAGGTTAATAACAATGGACAAGAAATAGACAGGAAAGACAATGCAATGCACTCAAAGCAAATGTTGTATCACACACAGCTACAGCTTGAGATACAACCAGTTTGCCAGGAGTGCTCAACTCTTAGGGGATATTTAGCTGAATAACTGCCAGCTACTGCAGAATAGTCTTGTTTCTCAGCTTACATAAGTTCTGGATTTGTGGGGCCAAATCCTGTGTACTTACCCCTGAGTACAGTCAAGGTAATTGCATGTCACTAAATTATTCAATGCAACTCCACAGTAGTGAGTTATCCACAGAGCCAAGAGTAGAATTTTCTGCCATTACTGTAGCACATTTTTGTTTGCAAACAGAATATTTCTTTAGCCTAGATGCTGGCTTAATTCTATGGTAAACAAGAGCAAAACTGTAGCAAAATAGGATAGTGACACTGCAACAGCTTTGATTATTCCACACTCTCTATTACCACCATTGCTTAATTTTCTCACATTAGCATTCAAGGTTATTAAATTGTTACATTAGCCTAATAAAAACAAGTGCTAATGCAATAAAATGAAAAATCCCACTTTACTGCACTAATCAATACAAGAGAAGCTGTAATATACTGAGCCAGTTCAGCAACAAATACTAAGTCTGGAAAAGTGACTAACAATAGAATGTGGCTACAGTAGATTAATAACCACAAGTGCAAATTTGCACTGAGCCTGAGAAAACCTGTAAGTCTGAAACAGAAGAAAGGCTTTTGGACATGTCTGCAACATTTTAGTGCTCGCGGGCCAGATCCGACCAACATCTGTGCCACAATACAGTATTCTACATACTGCATGCGTCCCATAACTCCACCAACTTCAGAACTGAAAACTACAAGAATGGTTCAGAGAATGGAATGTAGGACACTACAGTCACAATAGAAAATTGCATATGATAGGTGTAAGTATTTTGGTTTTAGCAGATCAGTTTTGATCCATTCATGTGCTGAAAAATGAAGCTCCATATAGCAGAACTCTATTAAAGGAAATGAAGATCAAAGGATAAGAAAAATAAATACACAAATGTGATATTATGTATCTTTTTTTGTTGGGGAGGAGAAGTTAAGTTTTATTTATTTCCCTTCTTAGTGACACAGTAATTAAATCATGAACTCCAGCATACTTGTCTTCTTCTGTTCTTTGAAGAGAGAGAAACTCTGAAAAAGCAACATGAATAATCAAACTGGGAGTGCAAACAAGCTCGACCTACTTGAAGGAGAAGCATATGCAGGAGTAGATCTTCGTGGAGGTCCCCATCCTCTCATATTGTATGCTGAAACATGAATGTAATACCTCTGGCCCTACAAAAGGAAACAACTGGAATCAAAACTTGCACTTCACTTGAAATCACAGCTGTAATAACTGGAGAGTAGCCCTTTCAAAACTGCTTTCTTTAAAATCTCTTACGTAGCTTTCAGGGATGTCAAATGACGCCCGATGAACTACTGAAAAGCTGCACAATGATTACAGGGCAGGAGATTTGGAGAAGGTCAACAGAAGACATCAACTGTGATTGACAAATTGTGATCTCTCCTATTAAACAGTGCTCTTAGAATCAACTTTAAGAATAAAGTCCCATTTCTGCTGTAGTCTTGCTATGAGCACAGTAACTGAAGAAGCTCTGCTTGGCCATCACTGACATCAGTCAGACCTTCAGCAAGCATTTTGATGCGTAAATCTAGGCCAATGAAAAGTGCTTCTGAAAGTTTAGCTTTTTGTTTACAGATGTTACATACTTTAGAGATTACGGACAAACGACCCCTAATCACTGCTCCTCATGTGTGCCTAAGAAATGGACTGTGCGAGCTTGCTTGATTTTAACTTAAGATCAGTTACTTTGTTTCGTTGCTGGAAAATGAAGAACAGAGGAAATGCATACCGTGGCTCTCTGTGAATCCAAATTTGCTTGCACAAACAGTGCAGAACTGCCAGTGGGAAGAAGGTGCTCAGACACATGCTCAAAACTATTCTGCTTAAGAATACATGTGAATGTTTATCAATTTTCTCAATTGCTGACCCAGTTCTTAGCATTGTAAAACATGTATATGAAAATAAAACAAAAATGAAAATGACTGCCATTAACTATGTGTTCCTGAAATAAGTAGAAGAGAAAGAGCAGTTATTTTAGCTATCTGTCATCAGTCAGGACTAGAACTTTCACGAGCCTTTGATCTGCACTAAGATTACCCTGCGATCCAGAAAACAGCGGCTTTCATTCCAGTCTTTTTGGCTCCATCCTAAGCATGCCAACTTATAAAACAGTTCATGCTGTCTGTCTGCTCCTTTGTGAATTTCTGATCACGGATACCAGACATATTATGCTTAATGACTGGAACTTGTTAGAAGAAAGGCACTCTGCAGTTGTTACCAACAGCCAAGGATGCAAATTATCAGTGTCTTTTTATCAGTGGGGCAGCAGGGGGCATCAAGATCTAAATGAATCATTTGGCACTTACTGTTCTGAGACCTGTGATGGTGCATCTCAAAGACTGAAGATTATCCAGGATTATTTCACCAACCAAAGGAGAAAAGTCTTCTGAACAACTCCATTCCACTAGGAAACAAACAGCAGAAGCAAACTGAATCAGATAACAGTCCCACAAAAGGAATAAAAGAACTTCACAGGTTAACTTCTCTCCTAGCAGTTTACCATTCCACGTGGATACTAAAAGTCATGTTTAGCAATAATGTTTAGGAAAACTTTACGCAGTAATTAAATTATAACTCTGTGTATGAGAGAGAAAAGCAAAATATTGCTCAAAAGCTTTTCAGGAAAGAATGCTTAAAAGTACCCTGCAATACAAATTACATTCAATCAACATTTGCTCTTAGTTAAACAATTTCCTTTTAAAGAAAGGGAAGCAGTTGGAAAAGAGTAGGCAAAAGATTTGGACCTGCTAATTCCATTAGGCAGTTTATATATCCAAACCAACAAAAGCACTGTTTTGCAATTGTGTCTGCATATGTAGGCATAGGAAGGGAGTCTTTTGGGCTCCACAGGACCACAAAACTCCAATCACTTAGCTCTGTATAGAAACATCCTCCTTGGACCAGATCCAGCACTCACAAGAGTCTCTTTATTGATTTCAGTGGGCTCTGGCTCCCTTGTCCGAGCCTGGTTCTGCTGTGGTCATTGAAATCACAGAGCTCCACAAGGACCTATTAAATTTTATCCATTTTTGCAGTGAATTAAGTGGTGCTGGGCTGGCACATCCCTCCCAACCTGTCCTACAGCCTCAATCACAAAGAGTACCTTCACCAAAGCACCAAAGCATTCCCATCAGTTTGTACCAACTGCTCATGTTCCCACTTAAGGGGTTTGAACTCAGCAATCTTGTATTCTTCCTTATTCTTTGCAAAAATTAACGCAAGAAATGAAAATGGATGCTGACCATGAAAAACTACCACGTGGTTTTAGAAAAAGGGGAACTGATGGCTGAAGATAAGAAAACCACCTTTTGAATTATATGTCAGTAATGACAAGTACTGCGGTGAGAGTTCAGGTTCATCTCAGTCGTACCTGCAGTATTTCCAGACTCAAACTTTCAGGAAAACTTACCAAAAACAGTGAAATTCATTACACATAATAACAGGGGGAAAGCCCACCAATTTTCTGGATTCACAACTAAGCAGAAAATCAACCAATTCAAAATGGGTAGATTCAAAAACTAGCTTATAGATACTTCATTTGCACATTTATCAGAGTTGGATTCCACAGTTGAATGACCAGAAAGTACAGGTACTTCAATTTCAGCCTTTTATCTTCCCATTGCGCCATACCGGCATTTTCACGTTAAAAGAAGCGATATTTTTGCTCAGCACATACATTTAACTGCCAACAGGTTTTTCCTAGATTAGCCAAGTATCAATAGCACAACCAACTTTTCCTTTCTCTTCCAAGCCAGTCCTTTCCTTCGACTGCCATTTGTGAATGCAGAGCATGTTCAGCAACGTTTTTGTATTTGCTGAAATGAAAAGGATATTGATTTTGTCTACTGTACCTGAACTTTACAGTGTATATTTTTCTTACTCTCCTTGGGTTTTAAATATCTAATTACTGCCAACCTTAATGGAAGCTATCTCTGTACATTAGTATGAAAATGTAGAGACTGTTACTGTACCATGTTGTAGGTTTTTGTTGACGATGTAATTATAGCAGTGCTTATAAGTGCCATTAAACTTGATGGCCTGTCAGAGTTTCCATTATAAACCATGATTTTTCAGGGTTTATAACTCTGCTCTATTAAATCATTGAGGACATTGTGTACATGCTGCAGACTAAGACATTCTCTATTTTCCAGAAGGATAAATGAGAGAAACCCCTCCTGAAGTGCTGAACATGCTACTAACAGACGTGCAGTCATTTCAGATGCCATTCTTCTCTTGGAAGGGTTGTGTAGATCAAACGGTGTCACTCCAGACAGATGCTGCCAGCATATCCTGTCTTCACTGAAATCCTAAGCATCACAGTGTGTTTCTCAGCATGAGGGGCAGGGCTGAGGTTGCGCTTTAGCACAAAACAACAGCCAAGGGTGAAGTAATCAGCTTTAAATTCCCTTGGAGTTTCTCAAATTTTTAGCTGTTCTATGGACTGAAGAGTATCCAGACATCAACTGGTTCCTTGGACACATCTGAAGCACTGTCATTTTTGACAGCACATCGTTCTCTGACTCATGATGCCATGATATAGGCTACTGCTCCTTGCATTTTCTGGTTATGCAGAATGCAGAGCTACTCACCCTCGCGATGGACCAGGATCTAAAAACTGCAACTTTGTGCAAGAGCAACCCAGCATGGAAACACTGCTAAAGCCTTGCCTACTTTCCAAGAGAGAAAGTGCTGGAAGAGGCTGTTCTGGAAGCAAACAAAAAATAACAGCTCTCTGTGTAACTGAAGTGCTTGGTACTTTAAGAAAGAACAAAAGGCTCAGCGCTTTAAAAGTTCAATATAAAAACAGGCAAGTAGGAAAACCTGAAGATGAAGAGGGTCCTTCATAAGAGCCCAGGAACAAGAGCTGGTCTTGTAGGCTGTACCAACCGTGCTGCAAAGGACCTGAAAGCTGTTGGGTGAATTAAGGATGGCGCATGTTCCAGTCCTGTTCTGAACACCCCACAGGCCTGCTTTGTCGTGAACGCTGAATGTCTTCGCTGTTGCGGCTTTCCATCTGACACTTCACGTTATGTCAGAGCAGGGTTTTTTGTGTGTTTAATATATTGGTGACTATGTGTTTTAATGAAGGTGCCCTGTATTCCAGAGCTCGCGAATGCACGATGTGTTGCTGCGGTCGCCAAGATAAGTAGTAATTTTTAAATAAACAGCAGTATAAACAGTTACATAAAACTCATGTAAATTGCTGGCACATAATTTTAGACTGGCTTAAGTTATGTAACCTACTTGTGGCCAAGTTGTGTGCGCTTTTTTTTCCTTTTTAATACTCAATTCATACACTTTAAAATAAAGAAGCAAGCTTGTTTTCACCTGTTTCTTTTCTATTCAGACTGAGTACGCCTTAAACAGCTCACCAGAAAGACTGACAGACAGATAAGGGAAAAAGTGAAGGTGCAAAACACCTCCCAGCTCTTTTGCGGAGTCATTCAGGAAAACACCTTCTCCCTGCTAAAGTAAATAGCTCAAGCCACTGTAGAATTTGTCACTTCTCTTGGCATTTATTTTGCTTGCACTTAAATTATTCACTGAATTGCTGAGTAGATTAATTAGACGCAGGGACATGACTTAGGCTGTTAAGTTGATAGCATCTACTGAATAGTGTGCTGAGCTGCAATTCTGGGTTTTACTCTTGCATTTGCTACTAACTTGTTGTGATTTTGGAGAAAGCATTGTGTCACTATGACTTTTAACCCAGACTCTTAACGCAGCAAGGATTCTTTCTCCTTCCCTTCCTCCCCGTGTCCAGGGCCCAGGCTGAAGGACACTGTGATCCTAGCTTGTGTTCCCAAGGGCCTCCAAACAAATAATTGCATTGTTTAACAGCTCCCTTTGAAATGTAAAACTGAAGGAGAGCCCTAATGCCAGAAATCCCTTCATGCCATCTTTTGCTGCCTGCTATCTTTATGAAATAATTGTAACAATTGACACTTGCAGTGTCTTAGCAACTTGAGCTAACGAGGCAGTCAGGAGGAACCAGCTTATTGGTGCACACAGCTCAGATAGACACGAATATTCTTGATTTTGTTCACATTTTGTCTGTTTAGTCAGTACCTCCTAGCTGCACTGAGCTAGCCTTTCCAGGTTTAATTTCAAAAAGAACCCAATTTTTGCAGACTTGGCTTCAGGTTTTCTTTATGTCTCTTGTGTTTTGAAATTCTGCAAAGAATGAGAGCAGAAAGACAAGTTATACCAACTGTATAAGGGTGCTTCCATTAGGAAAAAAAAGTTTGGCACTGAGGAGTCACTTTGTGTTCCCATGGATCTGGTTTTCTGCATGAAGGATGTAAGCCATCCATTTATGCACATTCAATTACACCATCTGAAATAAGAAGAATTCTGTTTGGTTAGAATGTAGGCAGGGACAACATTGGTTAGAAAGCTACAATGCAAACTGGCACTGTGATAACAACCAAGATTTGTGCCTCAGCCTTCCTATGACAACACAGCCCACTCTGGCTGTGGAAAGGAAAGTGAGAAAAAATACACACTAGAGCTGTGAAAAGGGAGAATAAATGGGGTTCTTATGCAAAGGCTTCATGTCCTAGGAAGGTATAGCAGGCTTGGCTCTGATCTTATGAATTTCCACTCCCAGTGGATTCGTTCCACTCATGTAATCTGTGTAACCAAAGCCAGTGGGGAGGTTTATGAAAGTAAGGACAACTCATTTGTGTGAAGCATGCATGGCTTAGGCTCAGCTTCTTCCCAAACCGTAATACATTAAAATCTAATTAATAATGACTGGTTGGGCAAATGCAAACAAAAAAGTAATCTATCAAAATGTACAAGACATACTGGAACACTGCATAGCACTGTTAACAAAGAAGGTAAATACACAAACCCTAATTCAATTAATCTGCTTAATGGGATTGCACTGCTTTTCTTCTGGTCCTCCTGTAACATATTTTTAAAGGGGGACATTGTTGAATAGATGTTAATTACTCATATTTATGGCTTTTGTTTCTTTATAAACAAATCTGTACATTAATTTAAAGATCATTCACCTCTCCCTAGCATTAAAGCCAGGTGTCACTGGCAAAACAGTCTTGTTTTTACTTAATTTAATTTATTGCCAATTAATCTAATCACCAATCCAGATTGAGAAGGGAGAAAACATAAGCAATTAAACACTTAACACATACCATCCTCCTTTCCCAGTCTCAGCTTCCTTTGTTTCTACCAGGGGGTTACTCTCAGCATTGAGGTTCTCTGTTGGTTTTGGAGCTGTCTGAGCCTCAGGCCTCCTCCACCTGCGGGCCTTGGCTAAGTAACCTGCCCAAATATGCCCAGCACAGTGCTCAGGCAGGAGCTAAGCGAGCGCTCGTGTGTGAACTGATTGGGTGCTGAGATGTGAGATAATAGAGTGCTCAAGCATAAACTGATGGTGTG